ATTGCTTGGTTTGGTGATAAACAAGATGAAAACATTTCATCATCCCTCGAAGGGAAGTATTTCGCTTACGTTAGTTTGGAATTAGCTACTTTGTGACAAATGTGATGTAATGGAATTCAGTTACACAATGTGTGGATCGTGCTTTGTAATGTGGTCTGGATTTTATTGCCTCACTAAGTGCTTTTTTCTCAAAGTCAGTGTTTCAGTTGTGATATCTGTATTTTGCTTCATCTCTGCAGGCGTAACGGAGAGCATCATTTTGGGAAATCCGACGCGATTGGGCACCGGGACATTCGACTTGTTGAGTGATCGATATCCTTTTATTGGTTTCGGTTTGTATCGGAAAAGGACATCTTTACCATAATCTGGCGCTTATATGTTTTTAGGGAGCGATTGATGATTTTGCATGCTTTAGTTCGGTGCTTTCGAGACTAGTTTCCTCATTGTATGGAGAGTACAGAGAAGCAAACTTCACCGACCGTAAGCTGGTTCACATCGTGTTCGAATTTGATCTGTGACTAGATATGGTAATCGCTATTCACCTGATTCCCTACATGCGCACAGGCTAGAGGTACATCCTTGCAGATGATAGACTGAGACGCACCGGGACTTTTATTTCGCACCACATTCCCAATATACTCCATCGATTCATTCATAAAGCTGGCTTTCCTTCACACAGGAGAAAGTGGCTTAAGATTCAAAGCGAAAATAACTGAGAAGGCAAATAGAATGTGCGTTTCTTGAAAGGAATGGATAAAAACCGGGACCACACATAAAGTACACATCAGGAATACAATCCAGTTGTATATTGTGTTGTATTGTATTGTGTATAACTTTTGCAAGCATTGGAGCTCACATTTCCGTTAAAAAATCGTACACGCTAACCGTCACAATGTACATAATTAAAGGGGAGAAAAGTTTTTACAGGTATGAGGACATTTCATAATCCAACGTTAAGACAAAGTTCACTTATTGTCCGCTCTTTGTTTATGAGTAGACGAGCAAGATACGGTATGGGTGAATTGTGGTATGCATTAATTCGAGATGAAATTTGGCGGAATCGGGAGCGTGTTGAATGATGGGAACGACAAGGTGTCAGTTCTGCATGCAATGAGTGGTCAGGATCTGTGAGAATCCACTCAGCAAATTTCACACAGGAAGTTACGTGATACTCTGAAAGCTTTACAGCTAATTCATTCACAGGAATAGAAGAGACACGACTAATAATGGTTAGACACTCGTAAAAATTTGAAATCCTGTTTGAGTAAACCAGGAAAAATAACCGTGGAACAGTAGAGTAAGATGGGGAAAACACATTGATAAACAAAAGTAGAAATAACTGACTGGGATGCGCGAAACTGCCTGAGCTTTCGTATTTGAAATGAAAGCCGTCGCAGTTTACCAATGCAGTTGTGGATGTGGGTTAATCAATGAAGATTACTATCTATGGTTACACCAAGATATTTGACAGAATTCACCCTGGATAAAGGGTTGTTATTGATCACTGTGGGGATATGGAGAGCGAAAAAAACTCAACACATTTACATATAAACAGGCTTCTGTATGCAGCTTGGCCTTATAACAAATAAAAACAAGAGCACATCTGCTTTTTTCTCTCCGCCATGTCTTTGACCGTAATCGGTCGAAAAGACCTTTAGACTCCGACCCGAAGCTCGAGAGACATCTACCTGCAGGTCTTCTCGTAGTGTAAAGGTCATTCATTATTAATGAATGGATTTAAAGTGAAAATAAAATTTAGGCGTTTCATTAGGATGGAAACAAATCTCGACATAAAAAGTATACACATCTCTACACACGTGAACTCGTGCCTGTTATGAGAAACACACACCATGTGGTAATAAGCTTGATGGATTTGTGCCAAAATGTGTGGCATTCTAGAAATATATGTATCTTACAGGTAGTAGTCACTCTGTTCTCTTCCAGAAAAATCTTGATGAATCTTTCTTAAAGTAACTAGGTGCTGCCTCAGTAAGACTAACAATAAATTAAAAGGACCAGAAACGGTAAAAGTACCTCTACTGAACAAATCGGCTTTTAAAAGGAAATCATTTCTGACTTTCATTGCTTAAGATAAGATAGTCACGTGATCCAGCAATTAAATACATTTACACGGCACCTTTCTTTGTGCAGTTATCAACTCAAGAAGTGCACCATGTTAGTATTGTCCAGAAAAGCCTGTCTGCACCACTCGCTGAAAGTTAGGTCCATGCTGTTGACATATGATTCGATTCATTTTTGGTCCATCTGGGCACTTTTTTACCAGCAACAGAAGCGGATATGATGGATACGTCGTTCTCTACTTCGTTCCTTTTAGCATAGCATGTTTAGTCGGGGAATGATGAAATGATCGTCTTCACACAAGCGGTTAACAAATGCACATTCAGTTCAGTTCAGTTTGTACAACCTTACATCTCAGTCTGTTGGCAAGTCCTTCTAGATAACGATATAATGCATGATTTGGAATTTTTAGGCTTCTATACTTTACTTGTACAGTGTTGCTATTCCTCCCTAATTCCAATCCCCTGCACGTGGCGAGATCAATTGCGTCTTCAACCAAGACCAGTTCTACTGAAATGATCCAATCGACATTCGTGTGTTCTTTGCGCTATTTGACAGATCATGTATGTATACTAACCATTTCATGTACAAATGATTTCTAATCTGATATCCTACTTATCTAATCGACTTTTCATTTTACACCCAAATGTTGGAAAAGTATAATCAAGAGAACCGGTAATCTAAGTGTGCCTTAGTGTGATGAACCTTACTAGATGCTGCAAGATAAATGTGGTGCCATTGACACTACTTACCGTATGTTCAAAATCCTAATGTTTATGGTTCATCCAATCATTTAACGGATCGAAAGCACGTTGCATCCGATCGTGTGACTGACACGCCCAAGGAAGTGTAGCGATTTTTGGTCACATTAACGGTGCATTCACGTACAACGTAACCCCCCTCTGTTCGTGACGCAATTTGGTCGCCGGTCCAGCTGGTTCTGTCAGGTCGGTGTCCACCGGAGGGTGTGCATATTCGAATCTCCCTCATCTGTTGTGGTATTGATGGCATCCCTGTGCGGTCATACACCTCTGTTCGTTTCGCTTGACAATAATATCCCATTTTCGACCAATTTGGTTTGATCTCCTGGCGTAGTTCGAGTATGTTGTGTATGTTATTTAGTTTCTTGCCACCAAATAGGATAGCATCTTGACATTCGGCATCAGGAAATGTTTAGTCTGTGGAGTCAAGGTCTATTAGGTACGCTCGCGGGTGAAAAGGTCAGCGAGCCCAGTCACTTACTGCTTTCAGCTCTTCATCTCATTTGACTGCTGTTTTCGGTTGCGGATTGAACGAACAGCTCATCTCCCGTTCGATCATTATCTCTCGGACTCTACACCATAGATTGATTTCCAGAATACCCTGGTCGAAGTCCAAGTTTCGTTAGAGCAGACCACCAGTTTAAAAATTGCAGAGCATTAGCTTAGATTGTTGTGTAGCTTTTATCCGGCTCTGTTTCACAAGCGAAGATGCATACTGGCCCCCCCCCCCTCCCCCCCATCNACCCCCGCCTGTATCTATGACCTGACTAGAACAAACGGTTGTGGCCAATTTTGGTCATTCAAAGATACATTTAATCAAGAGGATACTTTTGGCAGTGTTTCCGTTGAACCACAAGATTTAATCCGAACAGCGTTGCTTACAGTGTCCTCCAAATTAAGTGTTTTTACCGCAATCCACAATCTGTATACACGGCAACTAGCGATCTCTTGATACCCATTTAACTATTTCCAATAGTTAGCAACTACTGTCGTATTACCTGGAGTGAAACTCGGATTCAGTTAATAAAATGAAATCCGTTTCACTGCACTCGCAAGTCAACTGCTTGTTTATTGTCTCAGTACATCCTTCTTTCCGCATTTCAAAGAAGCCTCACGTAGGGGTTTATTTCAATAACAAAGACCTGTTGTATCGTTCTTTGACGAAAACAAATTTGGAGTTGGCCTACCGGGTGTTACGTTGAAAAAGACAGCTTACAATACTGGTCTTGGTGATGGTGTTTGGAGGTGTTTCCCCACCAAAGTGAAGACGAATAGCGGATATCCGGGGCTATAACCGGGTTGATGGACCACTGGTAGTTCAACTATGGAAGTTGTCCTAAAACCCTGATTCAAAAACAACCAAGAGAAGACGTACGAACCACAGCTTCCAGTTTGTGGCAGTGGCCCCGTCCAAAGGGCGTATGATCCGATGAACTGGACACCGGCCTCGAATGGATTGCAATTTTCACGCACCTTCTCACTGCCTTGCGGGTCAGGCTTTGCCTAGACGACGTCTCCGGTTGTGGACTCCTCAAGGAAAACCTAGCAGTATTCAGCCCACATCCAAATCGTGGAACGTTTTTCTTTTCTATATTATTATTGCGCATGCCATCTGGTGTCAGACGTGTGTGAAACATATCTCTACGATGGACTGATGATTTGGGCGAACGTGCTTGATGTGCACATAAGTTTGTTATAGACAATTAGTAAGAGCGAATATTACGAGAAAACAGTTATGATACTCATGAACTGCAAGAATCACTTATTTTACGTTCTCATCTCGACTTCGTATGATTAATTTTTAACGGAATGCCTACCACACGTAGAGGTAAAGGTGTGTAACCTGGAGCTGCAACAAGTCAAGCTTGAATATCTTTTCCTGTAACGTAGTGTCTGTTGCATGTGTTGCTTACATTCAGCAGAGAAATACGAACTATGAGGATCCTAGTGGTCATATTTTGCGTACATACTGCAATGCATAAAATTATTAAACCCATGTGGTGATTCAAATCTACACGATGTCGCCTACCCTGGAGCGGCACGTTACAGTTTCAGGACATCAATCAAGTTTGAATGCTGACGTCAATGACACGTGCATGGCTTCTGAATACACGTCATCGGTGGATGGTGCCAGCCAATCCAAGACAATGCAGACAGAAGCAAGATTATGCAAGCAGTACTGCAATCCCATTGGTGGAAGCCAAGATAGCCAATAATCTCCCTCTGTACATATGATTTAATCACCTGCATTTCTTTCAATAAACGAACTACTGCTTACTACCATTCCTGTGGTCTTTTCCTCGCGTCTCGTTCTCGTGGGACATTGCGAATCCGTGCCATTGTGGTCCAGTGCTTTTGAGATCCAGTCCATGATAGCTGATTATCGATTCGGGTCCTGTGATTCATATTGCGTGGTTGGTGTTCCGAATTTCGTGCGTACTACTGCTGCTAATACACTCATTACAACCCACCCACTTTTCCCTTGCTCTCTCAGCCACCAAAGCATCCAGTTTAGTCAAAACTGGTATGATCATCTTGCAAGCCATAACAGTGTGGGGAAACAAAACGGACTTTTGTTTTGCACAAATATGCAAGGCTTTTCGAGTTTTCACTTTGCTCTCTCCGATGTTTATCATTCGAAAGTTGTGAATAGAACCATTGATGGGATACAGCGGAACATTAACATGCGGAGGAATATGTGCACGTCTATTTTTGTTGCTCACGTGCGGTTTCGATACGGAAGTTTAATTTAATGACCTGGGAGCTTATTCGATCGCATCAAACGACCAACTGATAAAACCACAATTCGTGTCATATTCTCATAGATCGGAGGGCTAAACTCGAACACGATCGGTATTATTGCTGGTCACGCTTTCTCAAGGAATTCAATTACAGAAGTTCACTTGGCGTTGATGACAAGTAACAGAGATCTCGGAAAGGAATACAAAATTTGGAGTGTGACTTATTAACTTGAAAGTGGGAAAGGAAAGACAAACAAATATCGGTTTTCTGCTCGTTTCGTTTCATTCGACGGATAAACTTGTGCTTTTAAAATCATGGCTGTTACTAACCAGCCAACGCAACAAATGGTGTATTGGCCGTAGTAGAAGTGATAGGCGAGTCGTGTAAAGAATCTCACAAAAAAACGGGTTAAGGAACAAGGTTGCGGTATACAAGCCCGATGGAATCTGATGAATACGTTTGAAAAGCCAACTATTTCGGATTCAGTGTTTTTTTCAAATTCGACCATTTGCACTCCTCTGAAAACGAAGAAAATTATTCGAAGATTTGTTTATACTTAGTGTGTGCGTGAAACGACGGTCTCAGTAATCACTCTTGAAATGTATGATGTAGGTTCAGACCGTTTTCTCACTAACGCCCTTAACTGATTCACAATCGAACAAATGGGAAGATAATTTCGTGAGTAAACACACTGGGACATTGTATTTAATTCCAAAGTGTTCTCTTAGGACCAAAATCAACGCTCCATGTGTTAACGACCTATCGCGGTCAACCCATAAGGCTCGATACCTTGTTTGTTCAGGAACTGATGCATATAGGCATTTGGTTGTATCTCCTCCGTGTCCTTGCCCGCTTTACTCGTCATGGAAGTTAAATCTTCGGTTCGGTCCAGTAACAGTTTGATGTGTTTCTTTTTCGGAATCTTCTCTGGATGCATGTAGGCCGCTGCTCGACCGACGATCATGATGATCCCAATGAGGACAAAAATCATCGGAG